GGCTCCCGGGGCGACGTTCGGGCGCGGGCCGCTCTCGGCGCGGTATCACCTTGTCGGTGAGCGTGTGGGAAAATGGCCGGTGCCGCCGCGCAGCGGCCTGAGTTTCGTGCGGAAGGGCCGTTCTGAGTAACGGCGCCGGCGCGGCCCGTGCGAACGGTGCCCGGGCGACGGCTTCGTAGCCCCGCGTTGCCCTGCGGCCTGGGAGTATCGGTAGTCAGAACCGGAACGAACCCGACATGAGATCCGAGGGTGTTTTGGTTATGAGGGGATGGTTAGGTGCTGGGACATCACACAAACATCGTCATTTGGCTGGATCCTTACTAGACTGGGGCCGAATGTCATGAACAGCATCTGGGTGCAGATTGCTCTGTCATCTCTACCTCTCGCTTTTTCATCTTGTTATTTGCTTCTCCGTCATCTTGTCAGACTGTTCCTCCTGCTCTATTTACAGTGCGCAAAAAATTTCTGCCTGGCACTGATGCAAACTTACTTCCTTACTTCCTCTAGCTCCATGTTCTTTGTACCACAGCACAGGGATATCTCTGTTACAGCATCCTGTATACCTCACTATACACACATGTTGTGTTTAGCTTCAGGTTTACTGTCAATAAACTTTGAAGGTTACCTGAGCCTGAAGCTGGCTGGCTTCTGCCAGAGCTACTGAGGGACAGCTAGGCTGGTTAAAGGGATTTTTTAAGTCTGGGGTGGGAGTTGCTGCTCTTCCTTCTGTAGCTTTCTGTATTCCCTGCCGTAATCTTGGGAACTTTTATTTTTCTCTTTAGCTACTGTCAGACCAAAAAATGAGGTAGAACAGAAGCAGCTATGTGCTTTTGGGGAGTACGTGGCTGAGATTCTGCCCAAGTATATCCAGCAAGTACAGGTAGGTGCTGTTTGAGAAATTGTTCTTGTTAGGGGGACAGGACTCAGTGAACACATGACTTGTTTGTGTTTTCAGAAGTCATTATGGGGAAGAAGGATTGTCAGAATGACATGGAGGTTTCCACTATTAGTAAGCCCCTTTATCTGATCTCGTTATGTGTCAGCTATACCATATACTCTTTTTGTTAGGGTGTTCTGCTGGGTTCAGCTTAATTTTTGAACCTGTTGGTGTTTGTACTCATGCCCTTTCCCCTGCTCCCATCAGGTGACGTGTTTCAATGAGCTGGAACTTTTGATCCATCCAGATGGGATCATTCCAGTTCTGACCTTCCTTCGAGATCACACTAATGCCCAGTTCAAATCCTTGGCTGACTTGACTGCAGTTGATGTTCCATCTCGGCAATACCGCTTTGAGGTAAGAACTGTTCTTGGGGCTTGGAGAATTTCACAAGTGCTGATGGCTATGCGTGCTGTTGCAGCCCTGACCACATTTTTTGCTTTCTGACAGTGAAAAGAAAATCCACTCTGAAATGCTGGGTTTCATTTAATCTGCTGATCATGGAAGCAGTAGTGGAACTGATACTGCATGGGTTCTGAGTCTGGCTTTCCTTTTGTGCTCTGCTGAATGTCTCTTTCTTTTTTTGTTTGGTTTCACCAAAGTGTCTAGAGACTTCTTTCTGGCCAGATGTGAATTGGTCCTCTTCCTTCTTCCCCTAGGTCTGTCAGCTGCTGTTGACACAATGTTTTCCTTTAAATTCTGTCAATCTTCTTAACAATTTTCCTCTTTTAAAAGCAAGCAAAAACCTATTTAGTTGTCTTAAAAATATTCCCTGAAAGTCAGGACGTGATAGGAGATGAGGCAGATTTTCAGAAAGCTCTTGGAAAATTTTGGGCACTGAACTTCCACTGACTTTCTGTGACTTATTGGAGATTTGGTTCCCACAGATCCTTTTGAGTATCTCGCTGCATAGCTCTTCAGCTACAGAAAAGTTGCAGCTGCAAACAGAAAAAGAGAAACCACAGACTCGGCATACTGTCTTCTCACCTGTTATGAGAAAGCTTTGTTCACAGACATTATTGTTGTTTAACTTCGGAAGATCTGTGGGAGGCAGTGGCAGAAAATACTGAGGGCTCACATCCTATAGGAGGCTGATTACAGCTTAGGCAGCCTTATGGATGAAGATGATGTCTGTCTTCCCTTGTCTCAGCTGGGCAGACTGTCTTTTGGGCAAGAGAGGTGAATTGGGAGATGTTTGGTTCCCTACAAGTAACAAGGATAATGAAAAGTAGCTGATTTATTTTCCCTCTTTGGTTTATCTTGTGGTATTAAATCACCCACCAATAACTGCTCAGAAAGTGAGGGGTGGCAGGTTTGCCTTATCTATATTGGCTAATCAGATATCTGTTGTTTTCAAATATAGCGCTCTTTGCTATATTTGCTTTGCTCTTTGCTTTGCTAATAACAACTTCGGCTTTTAGTAAAGTAACCTGTGATTAGGCAAAACCCTTGAGTTGTAAAGAGTTTCTTTAGCCCGAAGACCTCTACTCTCTGAAGAAGTTGAAAATTTTTTTAATTCAGAATTTTTCTTTCAAAAATCAAGGTAGTAGATTCATAGAAATACCTATTAATGAATTCACCTTTTCCAGCCATCTTCACAGAGGCAGTATGAAACAAGGCTACGCAATTTCTTCCAAAGGTTTGGGTTGTTTTTTCTTTCAGTGTGCTTGTAGTAAGAATTCTCTGCCATCCCCCTTGGAGGTTCTAGTAATCCTCATAAGCAGCCTTTTTATTCGTAGTTTTGTCACCAGAAGAGTTAGAAATTTTCCCTGATACCCAACTTCTGTGCTGAAAATTAAGTGTATTTCTTCTTAGTTTTCTCCCAGTGGATGCTGAGAGTAATTGATAGCCATTTGCTTTTTGACATACTATTGAAAGGCTATTGTCAAGTCTCTCCATCCCTTCAGTGTTCTCTTTTTTTAAGATTTAGTATCCCTCTTTACTTCAGCTCTTCTTCATCAGTCATGTTTTCTAAATCTCACATCATTTTTGTTACACTTCTAAAGGACCAAAGTGATAAGCTGTTAGAACCTTGGTTGTAATAGTGTCTTTTAGAGCTCAGCTCTGAAGTGCTGAGTGTGATTCTGCTGATAAAGAGTATTTGAAGTAGCCTTCATGTGCCTTTGCTTAGCCAGCACTGTACTGCAAAGAGATCTGTAAGTGCCGTATGAGACTAACACACGCCTTCTTTTATTCTGCTTCAGATTGTGTACAACCTCCTGTCTCTGCGGTTCAACAGCCGGATCCGGGTGAAGACGTACACCGACGAGCTGACACCTGTTGACTCGGCAGTGTCTGTACACAAGGCAGCAAACTGGTATGAGAGAGAGGTGAGTGCCAGTGTATTTGGGAGCAGAGTCTTTGAGGAGAGGGGCTGTGTTTTCCTGATTAAACTGATTCCCAGGGCCCTGAGGAAGAAAGAGAGAAGTGTTTCTCTGGCTACCTTTTCAGAGTAGGAGGGAAGAGGGTGTTACATTTGGTTTTGAATGAGTTCCTGCATCAGTTTCGCTGGCGCTACACAAAGCCAAGCATGTAACTGAAATGTTATGGACATAATACATGAAGGTGTTGTTTTTTTCTAATTCCACCTGGCTTCCTTTCATTTAGGTTTGGGACATGTATGGTGTTTTCTTTGCCAACCACCCCGATCTGAGGCGAATCCTCACAGACTATGGGTTTGAGGGCCATCCTTTCCGGAAGGACTTCCCGCTCTCTGGTTATGTGGAGGTAGGAGAAATGCTCGTGTCTAAAGTTACCAAATCTCTCCAGTACTCTCACCTGAGTTTCGGTACAGAGATGTGACTGCTTTACAATACTTTGTCTGAAAGGCAGTAAGGGTGTTTCACTTGTCTGTACTTCAGAGGAGTTGTGTAGATCTCCTGCATGGAAATTTGAAGTCGTCACGAAGTATCAGCCATAATAAGGCAGCCTAAGGCTGGAGCCCTTGAGCCGATTTCATGTGCCGTATAGCAAAGACATTTGTCAGTGCTTCTGCTTTTAGCCTGTCTTCTGGAAGGTTAGACTTTCCACCACAAAACTGGAGATTCCCAGAGGAATAAAGGACTGAACTGATTTTAATGCAGTTGGAACTACACTTTGTTGAGTTTTTGTAGGCCCAGATTATAAAACTGTAGTTGAACTGACTCTTGCTATTAATCAAATACTTAGCTCTCTATGTCGAACCACCAGTGTATTTGGTATCTGTCTAGTTTCAAATGACCACCTTGCAGAAACAGTCATGTTTGGTGCAGTTCTAAGACTGAGTTGAGTCTCAGAAGAAAAACAGTGAGCTTCTGCAAGCTACAAAGGGTTTTAAGAAAAATAGATATAACCTCAAATCCTGCAAGTGAGGACTAGGCAGCATCTCCTGAGCTGTGGTTTGGAGATTTGGACGGGTAAACTGAGGACAAAACAAGCCCAACAGAAGCCTGGGGGGACTCCTGCATTTCACCTTCGTTGTCTTTTTGTCCTGTGTTCTGAGTGTTATGCTAAGAAGCACAACTGAAATGGAACAAACTGCCGTATTATAAATATTCATGAGAGTAGTCCCCAGCTATGCTGGGTGGACGGGCCACTTTATTTCAGTGACTCAGGAGAAATTCCTTTCTCATATGACAAATGTGTTATTCCATGTGGACTTCATATGAGCTGTAGGCAGGGCACACCTAACTTGGTGTGGTGAGTCAGGACACCTGAGGTAGCAAAGATGACTGTTTTCCTGGAGAGTCCAGAGGTCTTGGTGGAATTTGGAGGGCTTTTGTTTAATAATGAGAAGAACTGAAGCTGTGGCAGAGGCCTATCGCCTATGCATGGCGTAAGAAGGAGGATTACCTGTACCAGAGTGTGGTCTGGGTAATTGCTGTGTATGGCTGATAGCTGTATGGGGAGCAATGCTCTGGGGACTGTGTGAAAATAACTGGCCTGTGTCCTTTGTGCTGTTCTAGGTGCGGTATGATGATGAAGTGAAACGGGTAGTGGCAGAACCTGTGGAGCTCTCTCAGGAATTTCGCAAGTTTGATCTGAATAGTCCTTGGGAGGCATTTCCTGCCTATCGTGCAGCACCAGAACCCCTGAAAGTAGAAGCAGGAACCAAGAAAGAAGATGCAAAATAGAAGCAGAATGGAGCGAATGCACAGCACTATCCTTTCTGTTCTAATGTAGTATTTATAATAATGAAAATTATTATGAGATTCTTGCCTGTTGTGGTCACACGAATAATGTTTTCAAACTAGATGAAAAGCAGAGCGTGGGGGATCCTGATTATCCAACTGGTAGATACTTATCTGCTGCTTTGAGTTGTGAGACACTGGATTTGTCTTTTTGGTTTGCAAATTGAATGGAGTCCAGGCGTTCCCTGTAGCTAAGATGCTTTCTATACACTGCTTCTGCTAGCTATCCCTGCAGACATGAATTGTACCCTGAGCGTGCTAGGAGACGGTACTGCAGCAGCTACGTGGCTTAAGCAAAGGGACAGCAGTATCTCAGCTCCAAGATGGGATGTAATAATACATCAAACTGGCAAAGCTTTTGTAAATGGTTCTAATACAGAAGTTATTAGGACACACAAGATGTACCTGGATCCAGACCAAAACAATTGTGGAAATGCCTGCATTGTTTCGTTGGGAATTAGGTCACTGCCTATTCTGGCAGAAGGAGGAGTTGCAGGTAACCTCTCACGTGCCACTCCCTCATGCTGGCTTTTTCTTCACAGTCAAGCAGTCTTTACTTTCTCCAGCATCTTCAGATTGCGCTTTTTCCTGCGGTCAAAAACATCTCTCTTCCTTTATCCCATAGACAAGAGTCTATGCCTGTTTATCACTATTCAAATTACTTTGAGCTGTATGATGTAACCACTGTCTTTGCTCCTGTGGAAAATCTCGGCTCTCTCCAAAAAAGCTGGAAAAATATTGTAGTTTCAGTCCACTCACCACCAATGTGAATGGGATTACATTGCAGCAGTCATCGATTAATCATGTCCCTTGTCCTTAGTCCAGAAAATGCATGATGCAGTTCTGCATCAGAAAGCCATCTGACCTCATTAAGATCTGAAAACTTGTATAAAAAGATTTCATAAAATAATTCACAAGCTGTTTGTAGAGATTCCGTGAATCACTACTTAAGCTTTTAAATTATAAAAGCAGTAATTAAAAAAGGGGTTTTAGAGAGGTTAGAGTATGGGATGGAGGAAGGGATAGAGCAATAGTAAATTCAATTAAGAAAAAAAAAGGAGCAAGTACTCACTGTGACTAGAATGTAATCTATTTTCAAGAATGAAGAGCTGAACTGTATGGTAAGGATCAGGTTTCATGTTTGTTTTCATCCCAGCCTTGTAAGCATGGGTTTCTTAATTTTATTTTATTTTTTTTTCCTTTTTAGTTTCTTTCAGGCTGCTGTGACCAGCAGTGTTTGGGATGCGACTGAGAACAGTGTTAAAATTAATAGCATTTGCCACTCACCTTAAAGTTACAGCTTGTAAGGAAAGGAAGGAGAAAGGAACACAAATCATCAGAAGCTTGGGGTTTTACACAGTTCTTAGCTCCGCTTTGGATCTGCCATCAATTGAGCTGATTAAATAGGAAATGTACTTTTAGTCCTTCCTACAACATGTTCCACAGCTGGTTCTGTTTTCTGTTGCAGTAGCTCTTTGAGCATGCCAATGCCTACTGCACAAGACAGAAAAGTTCCTGGCACCACTTCTGTTACTGTAAAAATTCTTTGTAAAGCACGTTTCCCTTCACGTTCTCCCTCCCCCATCCCAGGTTGCTTGAGGCACCATGTCAAGACTCATGGTCTATGTATCATAAAAAATACTTTTTTCCTAGTACGATAGCTCAGAAGACTGGTGGTAGCCAGAACAGAAGGAAAATGGCCATTTAAATGTAATGTTTGTGCACAGGGAGGATTTGATTGACATAACATTAAGAAATGTTAGACACAATGTCCTGTCAAGTTAGACAAAGCGCACGGTTTGCTGAGGAATGTGTGTCCTGGAAAAGTAGTCAGCCCTGTGGGAACAGGCGTTGGCTCCAGCAGGTCATTCATATGTGCAGTAGTTGCTAATGGACCCAAATCTCTTCTTGTTATGGAAGCCTGGGAGGTTATGAAGGGTGCAGTTCGCTCTCCCAGACACATTATCCCAGGGCACCAGAGGTTACACAGCCTCACAAAGTACGCCAGTATTGGCTCACCAACTCAACTGCTCCTGAGCTTCAGGGGCCATTCTTGCCTATGAAGCTGCTTGATCAGTTCCTTGCAGCTGATGGGCACTTGCTTCATGCTGGGCAAGGCTGTGGTCAGCTTGGTCAAGCACAAAGCTGTCTTCCAAATCCTTTGTCCCTGCCTGGTCCACACTGCCAGCCTCTATGAGGCTTGTCTATCTGGACTGGATTTTGCAATTGTAGGAGGATGTTGGATGAGGTGTAAGCCAGATGTAGCTAACTTACAGACGCACTCTTCAGAGGAGAGATTTTCTGGTACTGTGGGGACAAATAGACTTTAGGTGATGACTCACAGCCACCAAGTTGAGCTTCCCCAACTAAGTAGGTTTTGCTGGTGTTTTCTAGAACTCTGCCATTTCTCCCTACAGCGGGGCAAGCAGACTCTCCTCCCTGAGGATGTGGCTATCGATGGTGTCAGGGTATTGACCTGCGTCACGGCCACACAGTCTGTATAGACCCTTATACTTGATCTCCAGTCAAAACCCAGATGGGGATTTCAGCTGGGCCTTGCATTCCTGTAGAACAGAGCTTATGGGAATACTGATGGACAGGCTGGATGACGGCATGCCCCATATCATCCATCACACTGCAGCCAATGACACCTTCCCCAAGCTGTGTGAGGCCTGAGGGGGGGGGTGTCCTTTCGTGCAGCAGGTGCAGTGGAATGGTGGGGCCCTCCCTGTCACTGTTACACAGCCCGTTAGTCCTTCAAGCAGTGAATGTTGCTCACAAGCTGAAAAAAAAAAAGACAGGAAAAGTATTTGCATAAGGACCAGCAGCACCATACCTGGAAAACACCAGTGTAACAGCAGAGGTCCCATCTGGTTACAGTCAGTGCTTTGCTCCTACTTCCCTAAAGGTTTTCTTCCTTCTCCTCCAGTGACAAACCTCACCTTCCCTTGCAGCCATGTATGTCCTTCCTTCCCCTCTTTCCTCGACCTTCTCATCTTCCTCCCCTGAGCACCTGCCAGACAGACCCAGGTTGGGGACTGTGACCTCCGCAAGTTCTGGGCAAGATGTTTGAAGCAAGAGATTACTCCAGTTCTATAACTGGAATTTCCCTTTTGTGAAGATGCTGCCTATCTCCCTTCAGGTCCATATGAAAGAAACCTCCCTCCCAGAGAAGCTTTTCTGGTGCTGTATTAACCACACCTTGTGCCTCAACCAGTTCCTGCAGTGTTTGATCCCTCATATCTTTTTCCCCTTTCCCTTCCCCTTCCTGCTTCAGGAGGTCATGGTGGAAAAGATGGAATCAGTCAAAGCGCCCCTGCAGAAACCTGGCTTGATGTGATGTTTTGAAACTGCCGCTACAACAGACGGTATGACCAGGGGGAGTGTGGAGGGGCAGGGTTGTGCACACTCAGCTGTGAATACCTGGTGAGGTTGCAGTCCCTCGGGAGGAGTGGGTGCACTGCCTGACATTGCAGCCATACATGCAGGGACTATGTGCAGCTGTCAGAACTCGGGCTTGTTTCCATGCATCATAGCACTACTGCTGCTTCACAAACAGCTAAGGCGTGTGTTTATCACTCTGCAATTGCCCTTCTGTGTGGGATAGTGAGGCAATTCTACAAAATCTCACTGGCTCAAGGCCCCATCTCCCACTGACGCTTGTTCCCTGCCTGGCACTGTATCAGTCACCTAAGCACAGCCTCTGAGCCTCCTCTCTTCTCCCTCCCACCAGCACGGGTATCCTCCTCTAGGCACTTCAGCTGCAAGCTGTTCCTCGGCAATTTTCCCATTGGCAAAATCATATAAGGCCTTCGCAGATGTTGGCCAAAATCCTGGGCTCCTCCTTGTGTCACGCGCTGCATGCTAAAGGGAGGCTGTTTCAAGGCCCGTGAGATGCTGGGTTTTTTTGCATAGTGACTTCTAGAAAAAGTCATGTGTACGCTGTGGGTTGTAAGGGACTCTGACGCAGAACAGAAGGCACATCAATCTCACTGCACAAATGGGGCATCAGTGTCTGCCCCTCAAGTAGCATGTGATTCACAGTTTAATAAAAGGTATCTCAGCCCAGAAGAAAGGGATGCAACAAACACGTAAGCAGCAGAAAATAATGAAAACTGACAGAAGTGTAGCCTGACTTGAAGATAGCCAAGGCTATGACAGAGACACAGGTCTACTTTTGATCCCAACAGAGGGTAAGAATGGCTTTGGATATTGAGGGCCTCTCCTCCTGTGACAAATCTGGGACTCGTCCATTGTGTGCGTTTCTTCATAGCTGGTGTAAGTCCACATATTGCAAGGTACAGCTATAGATCCTGGAAGCGTCAGAAGACATGCTACTTTGCACACTGGAACATCATCCCTTACCCTCAGTAAACTATCTGGTGACAGCAGTCGCTACAAACTGACACCCTGTAACTTGCTGAGAAAGGTATGTGGTTCAGCTCCACCTCCTCTCTTTTCTAGACAGACTTATTTCCCCCTTTAACCTGAGTGAGATAGTATCATTACTTATTTATACATATTATCATGTATTCATATAACCCTGGCATCCCAGAACCTGTTGGAGAGCCCAGGACCGTACTGTGCCATACAGAGCAGAAATACAGAACATCTTGACTGGGACTGGGCACTAATAAAAGTGCAAGGATGTGCAGAGAACAGGTATCTGCTGCAAAGGGAATCAGATGAAGTTTCGTCTGTGTAAATCACAACATCTAAGGCAGACCATGTTCGCCATAACCCAAGGCTTGTGACAGGAGAGGATTTTGAGGTGCTGAAGCCCAGCTGGTTCTGATCCTTGCTGTTTGCTAGGTCAGTATATTGACTTCTCCCTGCGGGAAGTTTGATACAAGACCGAACAAGTGATATTTCTTCTGCTTGCTTGTGTATTTTGGCTGCTACTGCCCTTCCATGAATCTGCACAGACTGCTGGCCCTATCTGCTTGTGATGTTTCAGGATTGCTTGCACATTTTCAAACCCAGGAAAAAGGCAAACTGAAAATGAAGCCAAGGAGCTGAGCA